TTGTTTTGCATTTTCCTACGCATCTTGCCATCTCAACTTTCTTCTTGCAACCATTGTAGTTAACAGTGACATTTATAAGTGAAGAGCTGCAATTATTCTTACCTAAACCAAAAAACAGAGTCTCAAAAGTGAGGTTTAACATCAACAATTGCTAAGCCTCAATTTTCTTAACCATGGAAAATGATAGCAACTATTTCACAATATTATTGAGGGAATTTACTATCTCGGCACCACACAAGGCACCTGGTTAATTCTCAGATAAATATTGTCCTGTTATTGCTATTATCACTATCTCAGGTAAAGGAGAGCAGAAGGAAGTAGGAGGAGGAAGGGAGCAGGGGAGGAGGGAGGAAAGGAAAGACAAAGGGGCATGAGTTATTTTTGACATCCATTTTCTCATCACTGGTCATCCTTATGATCTAATGCATCAATTTATAACATAACTTGCTGATGTTAGAAGAACAAGATAATTTTTTTCCATGAAAATTAAATATTTTTTCTTGTAAACATCCCTCGTTCTTGCTGGGAAGAATGCTGCAATCAAAATAAATGAACAAGCGTAATACATAGTATATAAATATCAATTGGTAGTTTATACATACAGGTTAGATTACCCGTTGTGTTAATAATATAGGAGACTTTCTACTAATGATCAGCCATATTTTTTCAGAAGACACTNAGAAAAAGAGTATTTTGGAGAGTATTGCTATGACTCAGTTTCTCTTTGACCTGCAGGATTCTTATTGCCATAAAATAAATACATAGGGCCACTAATTTCATGCAAAGTTTTATTTATTTTTAGGTTCCAGTCAACAAGAAGACAAAATGTCTCATAATGAGAACTCACTTTTTGAGTAAGACACAAATGTCTAGTTAGTCTTATTATTTAGTGATTACTTTTGTTCACTTATAAAATAAATACCTGGCCTGTTACAACTCAGAAATGTGATGCTAACATTAATTGGACATTTAGGTGGTAGTTTGTTCACACTCGTCCAGACAAGAGCAGGTTGTGATGTGCCTGTATCTGTAAGATGCCGTACTGCCATCAGGACAGTCGAGAGCAATGTCTCTGTACTCGTAGTTTTCTTCTCGGCAGCAAAGGCATGAATTTTCCAACTGAAAGATATCATAATTGTACCTAAAAGAAAAGTCAGTAATAAATATTTTTGGAATACCTTTTGAAATAAATTGACATCAATGCTCAAATTCTAACTAATTGTCTAAGTGAGTTAGCAAGGCTTCCAACCAATTTATAATTTTCCTGGACCTTGAATTCCCCCACTCACTGTAAACTTCTGATGTGGATCAGTGATAATTGGTACATAAAGCCAAAAGAAATAAGAAAAGACATCCAAAAGGAAGATTTATAATCTCATAATTAGAGTATTATGGTGCAAAAATGTAAACAAAACAGATTTTTAAATATATAATTAAATATCAAATTATTATTTTCTATAAATAAATGTATCTATAAAAGTGTACATAAAGGAAAAACACATAATGTGTTATGTACAAAAGTCAAGTTTAAAAACAATTTGAGAAATGCAGTTCCTTGCTTAAGTACTCTCTGTAGTCACTATGTGAAGATGAATACATTTGCCACCAATATATTGTTAGGTATACTTAGAAAACGACTTTAGATTG